TCCAAAATGCGACATTAATTTCTTGACGACCTAATACTTACAAAGTTTGGTTCTTGAAACTTTCGCTGCTACGGTTTTGGATAAACAATACTCCAAGTGCCAAGTTTAGTTTTAGTTAAAGAATAAAAAACAAGAGACATGCTTTAATATTACAATAATTATCTGAAAACGTGAAATTGGTGAACTTTGGGAAGTTTGAAAAGAAATATCCTTTTTTCATGATGGTACAAAATTCCAAACTCATACGTGGTTAATTTCACATTTTTCAATTGTGTTCTATATATATATATATGCCTATGGTGGTGCTATAGAGGGGGACACACACATATGCTCATGGCAATGCACCAGAGGGGAACATATATACACCCATGGCAGTGCTCCAGAGAGGGACATATATACACCCATGGCAGTGCTCTAGAAGGTGACATATGTATGCCCATGGCAGTGCTCTAGAGAGGGACATATATATATACCCATGGCAATGCTCTAGAGAGGGACATATATATATATACCCATGGCAGTGCTCTAGAGAGGAAAATACGTAGGCCTATGGCAGTTCTCTAGAGGGGACATATGTATACGTATGGTAGTGCTCTAAGGGGGACATGTGTATACCTATGGCAGTGCTCTAGAGGGGGACATGTGTATGCCCATGGCAAGGAAAGAGTTAAGGAGCTAGAAAAGCAATAAATTAAAACAAATAATTTTATTCACATCCTTACTCAAACTTCCTATATGTAAGAAAACAATAAACCAGTTATTAGCATGCGCAGAACATTAGTGCCCAGCGGGTTTTAAACTATGAGCACAAACCAAGTTGTTTATTTATTTGTTTGAAAGAGAATGAAATAATCGAAAACTAGAAATTCCATTCTTTTTCGTTCTAGTTCTTTTAACATCAGGAAGTTTTGTAAGTTCAAGAAGAAACAGTTTAAAATCGATTTCATTAAAATTGCAAAGAGAACACAATTTAATACATTTTGAATAGCACACTCTTTCACCTGCAAAACTTAAGCGGCGAGATGTGGTACATAGCAGCTGAAACAAAAAGTAATAGTTTGAATGGAAACCAGCCGGTACATACTGGGGAATATTTCATTGATTTCTGACATATTTCAGCAAAATGTTTTTTTGTTTTTTTTCGTGTCTACGACTGCGAAATCCTCCAAGAAATCAGATGAAATTCTAAATGAACTCGACACAGGCTGAACTTAGATGTCAAACCGCTGAACTGTGGATATTCTTCTCCAAATCAAACAGCATTGTAAACAAAAATGATTTTAAAAACATGCTAAGATCTTCAAATCATGCATTTCGCTCTTTGTGTAAAGGGAGATTGGAATTAGAGGTATTAAGGAGAAAACACAAACCTGAAGGGCGTCCATGCTCTCGTGCAACGTTTGGTTGCTGGAGTGGCTTTCTTACTATTGAAAACCTTAATCAGGGGTATTTTAAAATAGTAAAACCCACACAAAATCATCAGTAGATCTCTCAAGTAGCTCGTACGTATAGCATCACTTTTAACAATTACTTCCAGTATTTCCAAGATTTACTAAGTTACCACATGGGTTCTCGATCACACGGGCAAGAGAGCAGTTGCCCTCTAAAATACAAACAGTAACACTTACGAATGCTATTATTCAAATGGTGTAACTTACAATACGTATTATTCTTTATTCATGTTCTATGAATTATGTTATTAATGTTGTTACGCGTACAGCATCTTCTCGCAAAAACTCCCGCGTACCTCCAATAATGTTTACTAAAGATAAGAATGGGTTTGGTTTGTTTTGAATTTCGCGCAAAGCTACTTGAGGACTGTCTGCGCTAGCCGTTCCTAATTTAGTTGTGACAGACTAGACGAAAGGCAGCTACTCAACACCACTCACCGTCAACTGTTTTACTAACAAATAGTGGGATTGATCGTAGCATAATAACACCCCCACGGCTGATAGGGCGAGCATGTTCGGTGATCTAGGGATCCGAACCCGCGACTCTCAGATTGCGAACTGAGCGCCTTAACCACCAGACCAACAAATGGGTCGGAGATAAAAGGTAATCCATTGATTGAGCAAGACAAAAATATTCAAGTCTACAGGAGGATAACAGTCAGGTGACTTACGTGGAAGACCGGATAACAGTCAGGTGACTTACGTGTAAGACTAGAAAACGGTCAGGTGACTTACGTGGAAGACTAGATAACAATCAGGAGACTTACGTGGAAGACCGGATAACAGTCAGGTGACTTACGTAGAAGACTAGATAACTGTCGAGTGACTTACGTGGAAGACCGGATAACAGTCAGGTGACTTACGTGAAGGACCGGATAACAATCAGGAGACTTACGTAGAAGACTAGATAACTGTCGAGTGACTTATGTGGAAGACCGGATAACAGTCAGGTGACTTACGTGTAAGACTAGAAAACTGTCAGGTGTCTTACGTGGAAGACTAGAAAACTGTCAGGTGACTTATGTGGAAGACTAGAAAACGGTCAGGTGACTTACGTGGAAGACTAGATAACAATCAGGAGACTTACGTGGAAGACCGGATAACAATCAGGTGACTTACGTGAAAGACCGGATAACAGTCAGGTGACTTACGTAGAAGACTAGATAACTGTCGAGTGACTTACGTGGAAGACCGGATAACAGTCAGGTGACTTACGTGTAAGACTAGAAAACGGTCAGGTGACTTACGTGTAAGACTAGAAAACGGTCAGGTGACTTACGTGGAAGACTAGATAACAATCAGGAGACTTACGTGGAAGACCGGATAACAATCAGGAGACTTACGTGGAAGACTGGATAACAATCAGGTGACTTACGTGAAAGACTGTAGAATAATTATTGCAGTTGATTCACCTGAGAATTTTATCGTAATATTTGTAACAAGCGAGGTTTCTTTCTTTGGAAATGATAGATGAGTATAAGCAGTGACTGAAGGGATCTTTTTGAGGTGTTTAAAACTGTGAAGGGAATTAATAGTGTTGATACATCATCTTTTTTCATACTTGGCAACGTAGGAGTCATCTTTAGCTAAGGCAGTTTTATTTTTCTAACAGGGTGGTTGGCCTTTGGAATTGGTTGGCTTCAGATGTTGTGGTGGCAGTAAATTTTAGGTAGTTTAACAGAAAACTTGATAGCTATATGAATTATTTAAGGCTGGCTTTAAATGTTTTTAAATTAATAATAGTTTAGTTTAGAGACTGTGACAGCCGAAACGAACAAATAAGTCCCTTATTGTCCATAAATATTATGTTATGTTATGTAAGGTACATTCGTCAAAAAACAAAATAACATAGAAAAGCAGGTACAAGATATAAATACAGTGGTGAAAATCTCCTTTGAGAAGTAGAAGTATTCACGTTCATCAGGACCTGGCCTCACAGTGTCATGGTACTAGTATTCATGTTCATCAGAACCTGGCCTCACAGTGTCATGGTACTAGTATTCACGTTCATCAGAACCTGGCCTCACAGTATCATAGTACAAGTATACACGTTCATCAGAACCTGGCCTCACAGTGTCATGGTACAAGTATACACGTTCATCAGAACCTGGCCTCACAGTGTCATGGTACAAGTATACACGTTCATCAGGACCTGGCCTCACAGTATCACGAAATATTAAGTTTTTTGTTATTCAATGATACCTGTTCATGCACTATTCAAAATAAACTGTCAAAAACAGCAAAAGTCGAAAGCGACTTCCAAAAATGAACCTGTGCTACATTTGGAGGTCCAATAAGAACAGGTACTTAATACAGGTAAGTACAAACAGAATTATATATCCCTGTACATACATATATATAGTTAAGTAAATAAATATATGCCCCAGATGTAAATATTATTAGTTTGTCTCCACCCCTCTCTACGATGTTTTTCAGCAGACTCCATTAATAGTATCAAAGAAGAGGCTATAAAAATGCATGTACATTTCCTGCAAACAATTTAAAACCCCATCTGGAATATTAACACATAACAAAAATCCACTTAGTGTTGTAACTAACACATAACAAAGACACACTTAGTGTTTTAATTCAACTTGAACGTTAATTATTCCTTTAATACGCACAGAGTCTTTCAACGGTCAATGAATAGCGGTCACTGATAAGATTCCACTGGTCAGTGATAAGTTTAGGTTAAGTCACTTCAACCATATTTCCGAGGGGAGTTCGCTGGTGCAGAAATACCAAAAACCATTGAGAATTGGGAACAACGCCAAGAAAAAATAAAAAAGGGGAAGCATTTCTAATAAGAAGTAGGCCTAACTTATTTCGTCTGTATGTATGTTTTTCATTAGAATTACATTCCAGGGTGGCTAAACCTTAACTTTTGTCTATAACTATGTTTTCTGTACAAACAAACAACGTTTAATTATTACACTGCTCGTCAACCATTCAGTTTGCACCAAAACAAACCACGTTTTCAAAAACTTACTCCAAGAGGGCACACACCCTCCTTCTCCTATACATGATAGATCCTCTACCCAATAAATATGTTCTATAAGCAAACAGCCATCAACTGTTAGACTTACTTAACCATATTATTTGTGTGATGTATTCACCATGTATTATTAAGGTATTAATGTTAAATACATATTAAATGTATTACCGAATGAACAATCATTGGAATATATGGGACTATCTGTGTAATGTAAGACTGTCTACATTTCAAATGACGCAAAATGTGTGTCAATGCAAATGTTCAACGTTTAACATGAATGTCATGGCCCTGATAGAGGTAATACAATTATAATAGTGACTTCACATAAATACAGAACCCTCATTTATGTGATGTTTAGCATTTAACAGTGCTCTTAATCTAACAATGCCGATTTAAACGAATCACAACATCAGTGTGGAGGAAGAAAAAGGTCGACAAAGTACCTGACCTTCCCAGATCTCAAAAAGGATCTAGATCCCGATCACAATTAGGTCCTCCTTTCCCTGGATTCTCCCTTCATACAAATTGTTCAGTGACAACAATTCCTTATATATTTCCATCCAAAGAGAAAAATGCCCTAAAATAGTAGAGCAGCTCTACTATTTTAGGGCATTTTTCTCTTTGGATGGACTAGCAAACTCTAAGCCCAGTGTGATTTTGTTATATTTATGACGGTTATTGGCATAAATAAATAAACGTTTTACCCAATATAGCAACTACTTCGTCATCTTGAATGACCTCCAGTGACCCAGACACTACGAAACACAAAGTATCGATGCTTTCCCCAGTGTGGTAGAGGAGGTCACCAGGAGCGCTATGATCCATTGTAAAGTGCATAGCTAAAGCACGTAAACAGCCGTCACTGGCGAGTCGAAAAGCCGAATGTTCGTTAAATACTTTCCGGTTTAGATGGACACATGTGTCTGCTGCCATGTCTTTTGGACAGTAACTTAACACCTGAAAACAAAAACAAAATATGTTTGTCTTGACTCTGAAAACGGAGATGCTCTAACTTCGTTTCCAGTTTTTGGAATTAACAAGTTTTTCACTTTAACAAATCATCATTTAAGCTCAGCATGGTTTTCTGAAAGGCAATGCTAGTAAAGTATTGTGTATTATTTCTTCTTTGTTCCTTATATAAACTATATCGGTTAAAATGTTTATTTAATATATCTGATTTAATTATTCTTAATTTTTATTATTACACTTTTATTAGAGAGATCTTTTAGAATTATTAGCTTAATATGAGTATTTAAGACTAACCTAAACCTCGTGGGATATTGTTGGGTTTACGGCCGAAATTACCATTATTAGCAAGGACACTCAACTGATGAAACAACGCATTCTAATCTTTATAAGTAAAATATATTTAATTAGCTAAACCGTCCACCAGGTTGATTTGTAATTTCCTTCTGAGTAGGTAGCCTGGTCTAATCGAAAGTTAATTTTTTTATTTTTGGCCCTGGTGGAGAGATCATTAAACGTACAATTACATTAAGATTTTTTCTCATTAAACTGAACAGTTTTAATAACTAATTATTAATATTCTTCTAGACAAACGACGACATCACTTTAAACAATGTAGTCTCCATGAACCTTGCAGCATTCATGGGTCTCAAGCTAAATTACTAGTTTTAAATAGAAGACCAACGTTCCAAGTTTGAAGGACTTTAATCTTGTAATTCAAGAGTTATGATATCAAATCAAACACTATTTCACTTCCAAGTTCTGCTTCTCTTAATAGTTTAAGTGTACATGTTATTTACCTTTTTGGTATCAATCCCTTTGCTCATGACCCATGTAGACACCACGTAATCCATAACACGCTCACTTAATGCTTTCGGAACCTCGTGTAACTTCATAAACTCACGGACATTATTCAACATCTCGTGGTAGCGTGCTGTTGCTGACGTCATCTGCTGAATAATCGTGGTCACGTGGCCAAAAATCATGGCGTACAGAAGAGCTGATGAGAAATCTGTTTGTTAAATTGTGCTCAAACAATGACACTTAAGCATTTGTTTATATGCTTAACTTGAGATATAACTGCTTAAAAGAAAAGGAACGAAATTCAAATTGTACAGAAAAGATATGAATGTTGGATATGATATAATTTTCCATATCTGGAGTCCTCTGGTGCGAGTTTTATGGCTGGAATTTAGAAGGCAAATGCTTAGTTTTGTTTTTTTAAATATCTGATTTCTTCTTAGATATTTTTAATACACTACTCTATGTAATAATGATTTGATGTTTTTACCATTGCCTTGTAAGGTATGAATTTCTGTTAATGACGCCCTCTATAGTATTTTTC